CTAAACTACCCTACTTCGAGTTTGTGGCCCGAAAATTAGCGCCGCAGTCGCACAAATCGTCACGAACTTCGCCGCGCAATTTGCCGCGCGCACCCTCGGACGCACGTTCGTAACGTTCCCCCAGTGAAGATGCTAATGGCGATCGCCTTCTTGGAATAACTGATTTTTCGAGGTTTTCCGATGAAGAGGGCATGAAGTACTAGAAGTACGGCCAATACGCGTGCATCAATGAGACACTAGTCAGTTTCAGAGGGAGAATTCATTTCAAGCAAAATATCCCTTTAGAGAGGCATAAGTATGGTGTCGCACCTTAAATTCTGAAAACAAAAGATTTTCCGGGGCCACGCGATACATAGCTTTTCTTAAGTCTGGCTAAATGATCCAAGGAAAGCAGAGTGACAAAAATGGAATTTCAGCCGATTAAAAAAAAAGCGAGTACAGTCCTTACATGGACTAGATGCTCAAATGCAGCCAATGAGGGTAGTTCACATGTGAACTGCGTTGTCGTCAATGTGTTGATAGAGCTCTTTAAAAGTGAGGGAGTTTTATTTAATAAATTAGTTGGAAAAAAGAAATCCTGCACACAAGTAAAAGCAGACCTCAATCGATGAAGCTGTGCACAGGCGAAAGAATCGATTCGATGCCCTCATGCACTTTACGAAAGGACGCTGCGTTCCGCTGTCGTTGACTTTTTCTAACATGGCTATTACCAGTGTAATCTGCGCTATTTCATGTGAAAACGTGCTAGAACACTTTCAAACCAGTTAATACGTGCTCATGGTGTTTTTGCTTGAAGTGTAGTTGACCGGCAAATCCCATCGTACCGTTTGACTGGTGGGAGTGGATCAGCCTGGACAGGCTGCAAAGGAACCCCATGCTGTGGGAATTCGGAAAGAAGTACTGCCAGCCGGGCAAAAGCGACTGCAATCGGTCAGGTTAGGAGAAACTCCATCGGCAGCAGGATACTTTTGGGTCGATTTGTGTGTATATAAGTTGAATTACACATAAAGGGTCACTTTTTTTTGGAATCACACCAAACACAGGAATCCGTCCAACTCCGGGTCTAACTTTTCAGTCCTTTGAGAGAAGCGTCCGCTTTTCTTCGCGAACGTCAGGCAACACTTGTTTCGAGATAAAAGTGGACGTTCCCGTATTTTGCGTCTTTTCCTATTCTGCACGGCCTCATACTGAAGTCAACTTCAACCTTTTAAGATGATGGCAGCAAGTTGTATACACTTACAGCACGTGGTCACCCTCGTTTTGAGTCAAAGGCACAGTACATGATAAAAATGTTTCCTGAGCCTCCCACTAGGATGCAACCGTGGCCCTGCGAATAGCACGATGGACGCTGTTGGGTGGAAAAACGATCCAGATAGAGCGTGTTAAGGTCATCAAAGCGGGCCTAGCCGACGTACACAACCAAGATGGACGAGTTCTTACGGCGTTCATGAGGCTGTAGAAGTTACAGCATTCGCGTGGGACGCACACGTTGCACGCAGGCAGCTTACTGCAGCCAGCTGTACGCAATGGCCCACTCATTTGGACAGCTCGTCCAAAAACGCTCTCATGCAACATTTTTCGTCAGATTCTCGTGCATCCTCAGATTTTTCTACTTTCATATTGTATTCTCCTAATGCACAGATTTTCGCACTTTCTTTGCATCTCTTGTCCCTCCTCTCCTATGTAGTATGGAGAACTGCATGATGCATAAGTGGAGTGGTCTTTGGTTAGATTAGTTCGGGTTTAGTAGATTAGTTAGTTCGGAGAGGATCATCAGATTATCGGTGACCTGGTTTCCTTTTTACTTCAGGAAGGATTGTGTCCTAGTGCTAATGAGTGTGTTTTTTCAATCGGGCAAAGGGATTTCAGCAGACATTTGCTCACCTCGAAGAACATGCTTTTCAGACAGCAGCCTCATTCGAAGCCGGGACCACAGCTGCAGGAAAGTCACAGAAAATGAATTTTATAACAACATTTATTGGTCAATATTTATTTTCAGTAGCCCAATTATTTGTAGTTGATCATCGTTTGAAAGCTCTAATGATGATGTCCTTCGGCGGATTGAGAAATGAATGGAAGAATTCTTTCCCGTATAGTTTGAGACCTTCTTCCGAGATGACCGGTTGTAGAAATTCAACCTGGCAAAAGTTCGTGGGTAGCACTGATAATATGTGAAAAATGAGCAGTAACAGAAAAAAGTTCTCACCCTTTGGAACCCTGCACTTTTCAGAATTCGTTCGTAGGTTTCATTGAAGAAGAATGTCACCTGAGATTTCCCAACGACTTCTAAAATCGAACGAGCCATAACAATAAAAAAATTTTTTCCGATTCTGTTTGAACTATGTGGAAGTGTGAGAAGTTCAACACCGCGGAGGCATTCGAAAACACACAAGAAGATCAGTTTTTTTTTTAATTTGCAGGGTTGAGGTGGCGAGTACATATTCTCAAATGAGCCTGCTAACACCTGAACGGTAGTGGCAAAATGGAAGCCTCATATAAGGTAGAAGTTTCCACCAAATTGTTCATTCATTCCATCATGTCAAGCTCATTGAAATGCAATGAAGGTCCTCGCTGTTCATGTTAATCCGCTCAGTCTACAGGACCAACGGAAATAGAAGGAAGGAGGAAGCATGAGAGATACGCTGTAGGCTGTAGAATTGAACTCTTAAAAAGCGAAGCCGGAATGCGGTTTCACAGCTTCAGACCGTCAATGTAATAAACATCGTACTGATGGGTGAAGCTCGTGGCGCCGGGTAGTTCGAGGATCAGATCCATTATCGAATCTTTCACTGCGTAACCGAATCTTCCTCCCTTCCGAAGGTTAATTACTAATGCAGGATCCGACTGCACTTCCCAACTATGCATAAATGGCTACTCAGGGGGTAAAGTGCGAATCGTTTTTGCAGTCATACCCTGAAACGATTTTGAAAGGGAGATAGGTACATGGCCGCTCCCAGGCCGTTTCGATCGAATCAAAACGTATTCTCAGGTTCTTCCCTCCTTTTCTCACTCAATAACTGTCACTTACTCAAAACTGCAAAAAGAACCGTCGAAAGGAGGTCCTATGCGGAAAATAAGCCATCAAATTTTTTGAAAGTATCGATGTGGTTTACCTTCCTTGTCGAAAAATTCCACGTAAAGTCTTAGGCCATCACGGAGTTCTGTATGTGGATCCAAATTGATAGCAGCTCCTGAAAGACGACTTTTCACAGTAACAGTAATGGTTGTGGAGAAAAACCGAAGCACACCGAATTTGATCCCTTCTTCTCGTTTTGGATTGAAATCCTTCACACCATTAGGAATAAGAATTACGAATACACCATCGTTGGTCAAGCTTTTCGAGATATTTTGAATTGCCTGAATCGCTCATTTCCACAAAATGAAATGAAAATACAAGTAGGAACCACGAATTACTCTCAACGGCCTTACTTTGGTGAGTTCATCCTCATCCTTCATGAATTGCAACACAAAAAAGGCCACAGCTACATCGAAATCACTAACTGCCGTTTCGGCTATGGATCCGTGTTCGAATCGTAGGCCTTTGACTAAAGGAAAGTTTCAAAGTCCGTTTATGACATGGTTAGATGACTTCAACCCTGCCTTATGTGAAAAATAGCTATTGATTGACTAACCGTCTCCGTACTTGCTACGAGCTATTTTGATCATTTCTTCTGAATTGTCCATACCGAATACTTCTGCAGCACCTTTTGACAAGAGATCATTTCCGATGTGTCCTGAAATCAAGTGGGTTTTGTACAAAAGAGCGGAGGTGGTGTAGTGGTAAGGGGTGCAATTCACACCCGCATTGTCACGGTTTCAATTCTCGGTTCGGTATCCGCCTAGGCCAACCGAGCCTTCCATCCCTCCGGGATCGGGTAATTGGTACCAGACTCGTCTGGGAGGATAAAAGCACTGATTTGTACACCGGCTGGCCACCGCAAGTCATTGTATAGGCCACATACGCACTCATTACGCCACGACGATTCTGAATGGAAATCGAGTGCGGGGCGCATCCCTCAGACGGGATTGATTGAACCAAAAACTATCCTTCTATTTTTTTACAAAAAATAAATAAATAGGCGAGTGAATATAAAGAACCAAGGATCAAGTTTTCGGGCGTTGACCAACTTCGTCTGGGGGATGCTTCCCAGTATTTGAGTTCCATCAAGAATCATAGCGGCGTATTGAATGCCTATTTGGTCTATACGATGACTTGTGTGGCCAGCCTATGAACAAGTCAGTACTTCTATCCTTCCAGACGGGTCTGGAACCAACTTCTCGATCCTGGAGGGATGGAGGGCTTGGTCTGGGCAGATAACGATCAGGGATCTGAACCCGCGACCATGCGTGTGTGATGGTGCGCCGCCTGCCATTACACCATCTCCGCCCATTATGTACATATGTGCATGATATAATATAACGACTTTAGCAACATAAATTTGAAGGACCTACCAGTTCCACAACCAACATCGAATACTTTTTTCCCTTTAATAAGTTCCCAATTCTGGAGAGCATGAGCTATGGTCGGAGCAACGATGTGGTCTTTTCCTATCCATTTTGACTGAGCAGTTGAATAAGCCGTTGAAGGAAACGATGACATGCTGACGGTGATAGATACTGAAGTAATAGATGCTAGTAATAAATAGTAACAGATGCTGAAAGTGAGCGAAAGACTTCGAGTAGGTCCCGGGTAATCCAGGATTGCAAAAACGACAAAGGGGTCAGGAAAACCGCAGAAGGGTCAAAAGATAAAGAAAGTTCATGAAATAAAGTCGATAGAAAATTGAAACAATGCAAAAAATAGAATTTTAATAAATCAGTGAAATTTCGGACAAATTTTTTGTAACCTTTTGGTGGGATCACATAACATGAGCATCACGATAACCTACTGAAGCTTCCGAAGACCAATCCTAAATGGGACACGGACCGAGTTGGGATCTACCACGGTCATGAACTGTTACTTTCTATCTGGTCGTGAACTTCAGTGAAATAAGAGCTGGTCAATGGAATACCAGCTCTTCACCTCCTCGAAAACTTTTCAAATATTAGAAAGGTGAGATAGTTGTAGCTAATGAAGATAGCCCCCAAACCAGTATACACCTCGGTACAGTTATTGTAGAATGATACCGCTCAAATGCTTGTGCAAGTGAAAAGGAATTGCAAATGAAGTTATGTCTACAAAAACGGCGAAACAGGGTAGCAATAGCCACTCTCATCACCCATCAATCACCAGAAGATCGAATGATATAAAAAGATGACACGATCAATTCAACATGCCATGGAAATATAAAGTGATTGATAGTAAGCAGTTGTTTTCAAGATAAACTTTGCAGTGAATTTTTAACCAGAATTCAGGGACTATACTAACCTGATTCGGTGTATATGGTCTGTTTATATTGCCTATTGTTTTATTGGGATTTAATAAATTTAAGTCAGTGCTTTCACTCTGCTAGATGAGTAATAGAATACAGTTCAGCGTGAAATTCTGGGAATACCGGTTGTAATATTTAGAATCTGGCATTGATCGAAAAGATTTCTCCCAAAGATTAAGTCTAACGTGAGAAGTTGTTCGACATTGAAAGCTGACATGAGGAGGGGTAGAGGTAGAGGGAATTGAGGTATTGAACCTCATTAACTTGTTGATTTCATCGACTAGACGGAGTTAGAATTTTTCTCATGAGGTAAGCGGTAGCGAACCAATTGCAACCCACAATAGGTGTGCAGAATGTATGCTGGCTACAAATTCGTAACTAACCGCTACATGCTGCGAACGAATGATAAGAAAAGGCTAATCTTATCGAGAGACGAGTAAGGTGCAGTGTAATGGAGGGATAATATCAGTAACTACTGGCAAAATGCTCGAAGGTAAGGTCTCCTGACGTAGATCAATCCTATTTGAGGATGAGCTCGTTCTCAGCTTTCATTGAGAATCGTAGTATCGTTATAATCGCATGTACCATAGCGTGACCAACAATGTAAAATGCAGTGTTTTTAGTCTTCGAGAGCAGTCTGGTCAATTAGTAGAGTCTCGATTATTCGACATCAGGGTGGAAGGCTTTGTTAGCATGGGCCAGTATCGATCCGGGATTCGATCTCCGGAACATAAGTGTGATAGTGTGCCATTTAGCCCTCGACCAACTTCATTGACTGATGACCACAGGATGTATGCTAGTTATTTTTGTTTCAGTGGTAGCTGGAAGATCTGCTGCAATGACGGATAATTTAGGATGTCACCGATGGGAATCTTCTGCGGAACTCGGGTCTAACTGTATCAGTGGTAACGCTTTTCCATGCCTACTAACTCTCATGAAAATTTTTCAACGTCAATAGAGATAAAAAACAGAAGTTGTTGAAATTCCTCTGCCGCTTGAGGTTTATAAACGCAGAAGCAGAAGAATTTCAGCAATGTGAAGCGATGCCGCGCTCAAAGGCACGGTTTTGGTGACTGATGATGGTTACTGACCCATTCAAAATATTCAGCGGTCCCAAAGGGTGGTAGAAAAGACCCTCTCGCTCCTAAAATCTCGACGGTCAGGGCATAGTGGAAACCCTGTTGCTGGCTTGAGTGGCTAGGTATTTCGAAGGGCAAACTATGTTCATTCAAGAAACCCTTAGAAAAGTATTTTACGTCCTAACATTCTTTGTTACGTCCCTTGTCTTTTTTAGTTTTTTCTTTTTTCTCTTTATTCCACTCTTGTAGCTACTAGATAACTTTAGATTGCTTAGAACTGTTCCTCTTGTCACGTCAGACGAGTGTCGAGGCAAACAGCTTGCTATTATTCGTTCTAGGACCCACGCACAATCAGCTAATCGCCGAGTGATGAGGCGATGTTTTTTTCCCATTCTCTTTTCCTCTGTTATTCTTTTTGCTGCCGCGATCCCTTATTTGATTTCCTACTCCTAGAGGCTGAAAAAGGTGAGCTACCTTTGCTGCTACTAGGGTTTTTTGTTTACTTATGTTTATAAGTGAATGAATGTCTGCCTACCGTAATCAGTTATTTGCACCAGGACCCACACGTACGCAATGACGCACTGTGCGTAGCTCGTCCAAACGCCTCACATTCTTCCAATCTCGTTCTCGTCCAGCCCCCTTTTTAACGATTTTTCGAAGCCTTTTTTTTCACTTTGAAACACCTATTCACGCAGTTTCTTCGCCTTCATCCCACTATTTTCCATCTTAACTTTCATTTTTCGTCATAATCTGGATTACCCAAAATTATCGTGAACTGTGCCTTTGAAGCGAAAGAGAAGTTGGGAACTACAAACAGTAGTCTTTTCATCCATTTATTTTTGAAAGCATGCATCGAAAAATTGAAGTTCGTACCATTCTGTTCGCCATCAACTCTACATATTTGGTTGATCTGAATTGTAATCAGAGAATGCGCCAGGTGTAATAGGTAGCGTGTTAGCGTATTCCAAAGAGCTTAGAACAGTGCAGACTTCATGCGAAATAGTGTTCCGCCATAAAAAAAAAATAACCTGCTCGGCATAAATGCACTGGATATTTGATTCGATCCCTTCATCACTGTCAGCGCACTATTTACTTATTTACTTGACACGTGTTTTATGTTCTGTAGCTGTTTGTTTACTGTTTATTCACTTGCTAATTTATTTGATGTAGGTTCTTTCTATTATTATAACTATTCTTTCACAAAACTACAGCTTTACAACAACATGAAAAAATCAAATTCGGGCAATTATGGGGGGGGGGAGT